ATTTTGATGAAATTTGGTTTGAAGGTGTAAGGCGGGATAAACTTGAATGAGTTCGCGATCCAGCTAGATCGGACCATGGGAACAGGGTTTTATGGGGGGTTTTATTGGGTAAAAATTGGTTTTTCTCACTTTTTACCCTCAAAACACAAAATTTCCCAATTTTTCTCTAAACCTTCTTAAAGAGCTTAAAAAAACAAACAATTCAGTATATCAAAGTGTTTTTGTACGGTTATTGGTTACGGAGAAAACTAAAAAAATTGTAAATTTAAAATTCCCATGTTATTCTTATGGAGAATATTGTAAAATGTTGTAGTTTGCTTGTTTATGGATATATTTTGATCAAACTTGGCCAATTTATTTATTTTATAGTAAGCTATCAATATTTTACTAAAAACACACTACTTTATTAGTTTCCTTGTAGCAGCAAACCTAGGTACTCGTTAAACCTAATGTTATTTAAATAGATCAATTGAAAATCAATTCGGCCAAATGGAAATTCGCTTAGACGGCAGGTTTGCTGCGGCGGGGGTATTAATTCTACTGAACTTTAATTATATCCCTGAATCCAGACAGTGGAAATATTAATTTTGAAAATTACAATTATAGTCGTTCTTTGATATTTTTTCAGTACCTGCAATATTTTTGGGGTGTATTCATGGGTGAAGTAAGTATAATTATTTATCTTCATCTATGGCATAGTGATGCGAATCAAACCTGTGTTAGTGTTTGTTATCTCAACATAAAACAGTTACACCACACAATGTCTCAAGTTTACCATAACCCACTCCGGGCATTTCATCAAAGTATTGCGTCCCTCAGCCTAAAATGGTTTATGTATTCCACCTCTATATTTTTACCACCGGCCATCTTGTAAATAGAAAGAACTCCTTCATCCGACAAAAAGTACTGACTCCGACTCTGAATTTTTAATCGGAACACAACGAGTCCCGAGTCACCGGGTTTTCATTACTACACCAGTGGAGGGGAGGAAAGGGGCGAGGACTAAGTACGCCTTGTGATCTCACTTTGAGAGACAAAAATACGGCGCGGCAATTATTGCATAAAAATGGCGGCAACCTTGAGCGATGAATATTTCACCGCCTAAACAGCCAAGTCGTGTTCTAAAAGGTGTGTGTTCTTTATTATTAAACAGCCTGTATTATTCAGACCGCTTTTAAACTGTCAACTTAGCAAGGCGACATTTTTCGCCCTCTCAAAGGGCGTTGCGTCTTGTCAAAGGATTGACTGATGGAATCCCTGATACGCGTCGATACGTTCCCGCCAACTTGGAGATTCGCACTTCCCACTTTGATGTTCGATCTTGTCATGTGTCACCGAGAATAAAAGATGGCTGTGAAATGTTCCATCACACCCTGCAAGGATCAACTGACAATTTCTGCTTGCCTTTGTGTCGGCTCGGGTGAAAATTTAACTCTTTACTTACCAGAGAAACCATTTGTATTCGTTTATTGCTGTACCTTCTAAAACGTTACCGATGAGCTTGGCTTTTTGACTGTGACAAATTGTAGACATAATGTCCTAATACTGTTTTGAAACAATACCTTGTTCCAAATTCATAGTCACTGTATTCAGGTAATTTGCAACTCACAATATCGGTTTTTACAAGCATTGTTTAGTAGTTGTTTTGTATCTTCAAAAGAAAGATCCAGAGGTGTTGTAATAATATTCAAAATTTAATCATTTGTAATAATTTTGTGTCTACATAGAGGAAAAGTATCATAGGGGCCGTCATACCAGGGCTTGTGATTTAACACAGTTTACACTTTCTTTCGTTAACTTAATACAAAATCATCCTTTTTGCATTACGTGTTTCAAACATTGCGTTATCAAGAAAAGGCAGGGCTAAGAGTGTAGTACTGTAACAATATTCTAAATCTAATAGTTTATCATAAATTTGGTTACACGAAAGGAAAAGTATCGTACCAGGACTGGTGTATTAATATAGTTTTATTTCTGAGGTAAACTACGTAAAACATAGTTTCGTTTACATTACTTTTTAGTACTAGCAATGTGTTATCGAAAAAAATATCCAAGGGTTTAGTAATAATAATCATTTGTCATTATTTTGGATCTACATGAAACGAAAAATTAAGTTTGGGGCTGGCGAATTACTACAGTTTAATATTTCTGGTCTAAACTTCTTAAAACATAATTCGGTTTACATTACCTACTTGTTAAAAGCATTGTGTTATCGGCAAAAGAAAGATCTAATGGTGTTGCAAAATTATTATAAATATAATATTTTGGTTCTAAAAGAGAGGAAAATTATCGTACCGCGGCTGGTGAATTACTGCAGTTTAATATTTCTGGTATAAACTTCATAAAACACAATTCTGTTTAGACAACAATGTACTGTACCGCATAGATTGTATAGATGACCTGGTGATGACGGACGAGCTAACGTTGTGGTGGCGACTGACAGTTGTGTTAATTGTGTACCTACTGTCACGTGCTCTGTAATTCGCTCCAAATGAAATTCCAATTAGCAATAGTGAGTCAATTTGTGTTTAATTGTTGAACAAGATGGCGGCCTGGGATTACCCACCACACTGTTACACTGTCCGGCTGATTGCCGTGTTGGTGTTAATGAAACATGAGTCGGTAGGATTGTGGGCCTGATAATTAGTTGGGCCACGACCCACAAATTGCACCTATCATTATTGCACTACATTGATTAAAATGACAAAACTGCGTTTGCAAATTGCGATTACGGGAAGCGATTGGTGTTTCGTCTGCCTGGAAAGTAGTTTAATAATTTACGCAACTGAAAATTGTGAAAAGTTACACGTTTCGTGACGTAGGTATTAAATTTGAAACATCAAATAATTATTCACATTAATAGGTTAAAAAAGTCATACTCAAGGTAGGAGTAACTAAAATTATACAGGGGTTTTTATCGTTAATCGTTAATCTAACTTTTGCAACCTACAGTAGTGCATCTATTCTAATAACGACAATATCACCAATTTAACCCAATCACTTTAACAACCACTTGATTCAATCCTATTATTTTTCAGTCAAACTCGTATAATTCATGTGTATGACCATTATAGTATCACGTTGTATTTTTCGCAAGATGAATACTGTATAGAGTATAGGCTTCGACATGGAATAATGGTTACAAGTGTTTGGTCTATTTACATTTTAAAAACTGCAACCAACATACACATTTTAAGGAACGTTTGTGAAATACTTACTTAGCAATAATTATTTATTCACAACATTACATATTTAGGATTGAAATATTAACTGTTAAACACACGTTTTATGTTCTAAAACAACCACAAAATTTATATTATGAAATTATTACATACTGTACAGGAGAAGCAGAAATAATATTGAAAACCATAATTTATTGATAAGAGAAAGTGTTAGCATTGTAAAAAATAGTAGAAGTTGTAGTAACAGTTACAAAAGTAGTAAAGTAGTATCAGCAAGTACAACTCCCTTCCGAGCGCTGTTAAACAATGTTGTGAACGATCACAGATATATAAGTGACATGACAAATAGACTTTGGAGCGATAACTGCGCTATCTACAAATAAGGTAATTAGTTTGTCAAAGCTACCTTGAATTAGTTATTCAATGGAAATGTAATTACCTAATACAAGCTAAACTGTTCTATATTTTAGGATGTACCGTATCCAGTAAAGTTTGATAATGTTTTATAAAGTCTCGACTGTTGTATTTATTAAGTACTAAGTGATTCAAAAACAACAGATCAAATGCAATGCTATACTTTATATCGAATGCAACTTGATACTTTTCTTCAATATTTTATCAATTCAGTTGTCTAAATCAGAGGAAACACCGTAATTGAGGAACAGCGTTACCAAACATAAACAATGATTTAATCTTTATATATGCATCACCCAAATGCAATTATCCGAGATCATACATCTCTTATGAATAAATTGTATACATTTCATAACCAAACATTGCTCTTTCCATCTGACAGCAATTCACGTCATTTTGTATGTTGCAAGATGCAAAAGTAACATCACGGCTAGGACGCGAATCTAGCCGAATGCTCAGTAGGATAAATCAGCTAAACTGTGTGTTATTGCAATGTAAAGGAAGGAATGCAGTTTATTACATTTCAAGTGTAATTTTATTTAACTACAACTGTCTTTAAAACATAAAAAACAAAAACAAAATATATAAATGATTCACTATTTTGAACCTTATGAAAATCCCTCTTTTCAATTTTTTATGTGCTGCATGCGTAAAAAAAAATAAACCATCGTAAAATAAAAACAATCTTAATACACGTCACCAATAAGTAATGTGGAATTGTTACACCTCACGATCACTGAAGGAATTACTATTACGTTTAGTGATTATATCCAACCGAAGCACAAAGCTTCTATTAATTGGAAAATGAATTCAGCATGGCGTGTGGCCAAGGGAGCTGTTGGTTATGAGTAATGCATGTTGTAGTCGGTGTATTATTGTAGCTATGTGGCTGTGGCTGCATCGCTGTGATCCAGGCGGCGCTGGCAGTGGTCAGTGGTCACCGACTATCACCACTGACACCAGAATTCAATTACTCCTCGTTGACATCTGCTAATGACAAGGCCCGTAAACAATTTATAGGTTAGTTTGTAAACGCCACCGCTCGACGAGTGACACTATCCCAAATAAAGTTTTCCATTTATTTCCCCGTTATTTCATTCCCGTTTATAGCTGGTGCGTTGAAATGCTACTGTGACAATATTCGTGTAAACTTTTGAATGGTGTATTAGTTTTTTTAGGTTGAATTATCGTGTGATTTGTGTTTTGTGTAAATTTATTTAATAATATTGTATAAGTAAGCAAAAATTGAAAATATTATCACCTCATTGTGATATATCGTAAGATTGGTACGGTATGTTTCTTTTTAGTGCGAGAGTTTAACTACTTGGACCTATCAATGCAGGAGTATGTTACAGTTATCTCAGTCATGTTACGGTTGGTTTAATGTGAGGTGTTGTGTTGTAGGAGACAGACCGCAGAAGAGCGGGAGGCGGAGAGACAAGCTGCCAACAGGCTGATGATGTCACTACAGGCGGAGGCGCTCAGCAAGGGCATGTACCATGGGCCTGGCGACAGGGGCCCACCAGACACTGGGGCCCTTAGTGCTCTACAGAACCTACAGCCCTGGGCCGGAGCCGGGCCTTCCCTGACACTGCAACAGCCGGGCGACCACTACATCAACCCTCCACCCATAGCATCACCCATCTGTTAGACTACCTACTGGACACCCGCCCCACCAGAACCCCAGACTCAGTGCTCAGTGTTCTGCAGAACCTACAGCCCTGGGCCGGAGCCGGGCCTTCCCTGACACTACAACAGCCTGACCACTACATCAACCCTCCGCCCATAGCATCACCCATCTGTTAGACTACCTACTGGACACCCGCCCCACCAGAACCCCAGACTCAGTGCTCAGTGTTCTGCAGAACCTACAGCCCTGGGCCGGAGCCGGGCCTTCCCTGACACTACAACAGCCTGACCACTACATCAACCCTCCACCCATAGCATCACCCATCTGTTAGACTACCTACTGGACACCCGCCCCACCAGAACCCCAGACTCACTCAGTGCTCTGTAGAACCTCCAAACTTGAGCTATACCCATCATTGACCCTCCAGTCGCCCAGCCCTACAGTAGCGAAAAAGTGATACGTCATCACTGATAATATGAGGCCGCCGCGTTGTTGTCTTTCGAGGTCGAACTATTAACAAATGAATGACTTTGATAGAAATATTCACCTAAATTATGAAGGTGTTATTTTATCCCCAGTGTAACTTCATGGATCTAACGAACTTGTATAAAATGAATAGTTATTTTACAGTTACTCTTAATTCGTTATGTGACCGGTCTTGTGATATACGTGGATAGCAATGTGACACAAAACTTCAATACCGACGTTGCAATGGTGCAAAGGACCAACCTTGTACGCAACTGACGCTTTCGTTACATTCTGTATCTATAGCGCTGGATATTGTACATATGTAAATAGCTCAATGTTGTGGCATTAGTGCTGTTTTAAGATTTTGGATTATATGACACAGTTATCTAATATCACGATGTTTATTATTAATGCCACTAAGTGTTGTTATATGTGCCCAGTCATCATAGTTTTCTTATTTGCTTGGCGACTGCATGTAAATAGTTACACATAGCAACCTGTGACATACTTATAAATGCTTTAATGCTTCTATATAGAAATTAAAATATTGACCGATGTGAACTGCAATCACATAAATAATTACATCTCTGTACATAACTGCTCTGATTATTCAATGTTTAATTTGTTAACTACTTTAAATCAATTTTATGATAAATAAGTACATGTTGAGGTACTCTAATCCGAGGTAATATTAACTTAAACAATAATCAAAACGAGGTACGAAGTTAAATTATATTACTTATTACTGTTATTTTACACTAGTATCAGGCTTTTATAATTTAATCTCTAAATTGTAATACTTGTTTTTAGTACACGTTTTCTGATTTACTGTAATACCAATTGTGATTATATAATGTGCAATCTCAAGATATAAGTTAAGAATGCTAAATGTTATCCTAGAGATTCCGGTATACTTTGTAATATATTGTAAGCTAGATGTTTAATGTTCACTTGTAAAAAGCTTTTACTTGAAAATATATGAATCGTAACACGTTTAACATTGCTACTTCATTTACCTTATATTAAAAGCTAACAAGGATCGCTTAAAAAGAAGTGACAAGTACGTTTTTCTTATAATGTGGGTTAGTGTTCAATTCTTTAAAATGTGTTCCAACTGTTTATTTATTAATTCAATACTTTATTTTTTAAACGCAACAATTATTGATGTTGCAGACAAAATGTTGTGTATACAATTAAGGGACTCGAGTAAGAAATATTAAGTTTGGAAGGAGCCTTATGTGTCCCAACTGGGGAAAACGCATCTGTAGAGCATTTTTCCTTGTAACAAGGACATTGATAAAATTAATTTACATCAAGAACAAGCGCTTAATCATCCAGCAGTTTGAATTGGACGAGGTGGAGAAGAATCATCATACAGTATCTTCTCTGCGCTCTCTCGCCGTGGCGAGGCACGGGCAGAACAACTAGTTCTCAATAAAGTTGAATTTAATTTCAGTTATTGATGTGTTACGGCTTAGATTTTCAGGGTAAATTTGGTAATTCCGAAACATCCCTTGAACATCAAAAAAGGTTCTTCAATTTATAGGAATAATCACCAGACTCATGAAATAATTACTACTCACTAGGTATAGTTTATAGAAAGTAATATAAATCTACTACGTATAATTATTACTTTTCCTATTAAATTTAGTATTGCCATAACAACCTTAGCTAAGATACACATCGTAAAGGTTTTGGAATCATCGCCGTACTCAAGAGAAAACATTCATTTAGTTAGGTTTTTGACATAATTACGTATATACTATTTACTGTCAAATATTTAGTGAGGTACTTTCGACTGAACACACATTGAAAGAATATGTTGTTAAGTACTCGCCATGCAAGTTTGGTTACAATTACCTTCATACAATAAAGTATTAGAAGGATTAATGGATGCATTAGTGAATTAAATGTTCGTGATTAATTAAAATATTTTACTTAGAACCCGATAAAAACACCCTAGAAATATTTACCGTTAAATAATTATAAAGAGATGAAATACAACAGTTAACGTTAGGTACTTTTCTTAAACAAAACTATGTAATTTATTTTTTTAATATGTTTCGGGAATCTATAAAATAGACTATATGAACGTTTGAAATACCTGTCTATCTTTAGGTTTATTTATGTTCTAGGAACATTAGTCATGTTTTCCTGTAGGCTTATATGAAGTAGTGGAAAGTGTAGCTGCCACTTTATACTGGAAGCCGAAATTGATTTAAAAGTCGCAATCATTATTTGAGGAAAATTAAATATATATCTATATTGAACAAGATCTACTGGTAATGGTGTTTGCATTATTATTTTTGTCTTTTATTCATTTTACTTTACTCTAAAGAAATTTGTTGGACACATAAGAATGGTAAAGAAGATGAAAAAGTTATTCCATTATTTATGTTTTACATGTGAGTCGGGTTATACGACATTTTGCAGTATGCACCTGAAAACGGTTCCAGCTAAAGTCGAAAACTCTTCAAAAACTTTTGAAACATGGGCTATTTAAAAATTAATATAATTTTTAAAGTAAAACTCCTATTGAAAGAAGGAATACAATACTTAATTTACGATAAGTTTTTAAAGACGATTTTTTCTATATTTACCAAAACCATTAACAATTATTAGCCTCTTATAAACAATTATTTTTATTCAGTATGATTGACGACAAACACAAATACAATTTTCAAACCCCTAAAGTTATAGTTATATACAGGGTGTACCACGTTAACAATTTGCAATTGCACAAAATGTCAAAGGTTTTACAATTCCAAGAGAGATACAAATTTAAACTTTATCCGTGCCATCATAGATAAAAGGAGTCCTTTTATCTATGGTGCCATGCACGTGTAGTGTGTAGGCCGCTTTATTTTTGAAGCCGTCGATCAAAAACATGGTTCCCCGTATGAAATATAAGTTAATTGTTTCCAGTGCCGTTATCTCTGTGGACATTGTGACACATTATGTTAACAAAATTAACATGCCATTTAAATGGGGAAATATGTTTTTAGTTGACAACTCGAAAACAAAAAGAGTTACGGATAAGGTTTAAGTTTGAAAATTGCTTGAAGTTAAATACATTTAAAATGATTTGACATTATGCTATTTGACATTTTTGAATTTTAAATAAGTAACGATTAAAATCTATTTTGTTTTGATTTTTTTTTGTTTTTGTGACGTTGTAATATTACATATCAAGTTAAAGTTTAGCTCATGAGAAATTAAAAAAAATTATTAAAACACTTTTATTTTAGCATTTTAAAGCAAAATACAGGGTATTCAAAATAGTACCAATTTTTTCACAAAACGCGCTTTTTTACAAATAATAAGAGTTACATTCGGATTCCACCAAAACGTTTGCATTAACAAGAGCTTTAAAAAGTATGTATTATATGACATATGTTTGTGTTTGACAATTATTGTGAGATTTGAACTAGTGAACGTCTGGTTTTCAATCTATATATATAATACGCTAAGCCGATTTTTGTAAACAGAACTCCTCCCACATTTTTGGACCGATTTTGATGATTAAAGTGTCAAAAAAATGGCCCTGATCTGTAGTTTTGCAAAGTGTTTTTGGTTTTTTGAAGTCTTTATTAGTTTGGGCAAATCTTCCATCAAAGTTGGGTTTTCTCCCATAAGATTAACATGGGGAAATGTAAATATTTAATTGGAAACTTTGTCTCCACTGATTTGAGATAACGGCTGGACGTAGAAACTTGGTAGAGGTCTCCAAAGAATGGCCTTGGTCTGTAGATGAGTTATCAAAAGAAACACGAAGTAAATTCCCTTAGGGCTCTGCCCCAGAAGCCTTTAAAGATCCCTCGACAAATTTGTTTACATTTTGGCCATGTGGATAATACTTTTTAATGAAACAGCTGTTGATTTTTCAATTGTGTTTTAAACAACACACATTTATTGGGAGTTATTGAATTGTCCAAAAGAAGTATTTGCAATGCAATTTACTGATTTTAAAATTGATTTTCTTCTGTATCATGCCATGTTTTGCAATATAACGTTCCATTACGAAATCAGTTGACAATCATTTTATAGTAACTCTTACAATTAATTATTTCTTATTGAACTGTCTTATATCTATTGTACGGGTTGGTGTCTGCCTTTTTTACCACTTTTGCCTATATTTTATCATATTATTCTAGACAGATCATCATAGGTTCATGAGATTATTGTCATACATGTTTTCAATCATTGGAAAAGTCTTTGATTGTGTAATACATTACAAAATAATACAAGTGCAGAAGGGCACGTTGTCCATATGAGCCGTGTCCATATTTTGTTTAATTAATATTAGTGTACAGCAACTGGATAAAACATTTTACAATACTTATTTCTAAATATGTGTAGGATTTAGAAAGTCATTAAACTGGAAAACTGCAATTTACTGCAGACTTTTCAGAGAGGTTACTTCGATGTATTCATTCCGCTTAGTAAAAACATAATAAGGGTATGTATACAAATAAGAACTTCAACTTTTAGAGAGCCTTTGAATGTTATTAGACTAACGAAGAGGGTTCTGCATGTTAACTATTGCTACTCAGCAACAAAAACCATTTAATTTATCTCAAAAAAATATATTCTTAAAAGTACTTAGCAGCAGCCTAAAAATACTATGTAACTTACTTATACAGTTACAAAAAGCCCAAACTCACATTTATAATTCGGCTTATATTTTCCCAACAGATTAATTATCTGTAGAAGAAGTTCATTGAGCTCTTACAGACAAAAAAATGTTGTTAGTTTATTTAGTTAGTTTAGTTGTGTCTAATAACATCCAAACACAGAAACCTTGACTTGAATGGTACCAGTACCTATCTTTTACAAATTATTTGCAAATGTGTTATTTTCAATCATGTTAACAACCCAGTGGGCCGCGGTCCGTAATATAGGATACTGCAAATAATTTCTCTAGATAGGTACCATTTTAGGCAAGGTTTCTGTCTTTGGATGTTATTAGACATGATAAGAGCACAATAAACTTCTTCTGCAGATAAATAATCTGCTGGAGAAATATACGCCGAATTATAAATGTTACAATGCGAGTTCAGGCATTTTGTAACTATATGGGTAAGTTACATAGTATTTTTTAGGCTGCTGCTCAGTGCACTTTAAGAATATATATTTTAGAGAAAAATTAAATGGGTTTTGTTGCTGAGTAGCGCTAGTAAACATGTAAAACCCATTTCGTTATTCTAATAACATTAAAAGGCTCTCTAAGAGTTCAAATTCTTATTTGTATACATATCTATATTATGTGTTCACTATGATGAATGAATACTTTATAGCAACCTCTCTGAAAGTCTGTAGTAAATTGCAGATTTATAGCTTAATGACTTTCTAAATCGTGGACATATTTCTACATAAATATTGTAAACAGTTTTATCCAGTTGCTGTAAACTACTATTAATTTAACATAGTATGGACACGGCTCAAATGGACAACGTGCCCTTCTGCACTTGTATTATTTTGTATTGTATTACACATTCGACTATTTTTCCAATGATTGAAAACATGTATGACAATAATCTCATGAACCTTTGATGATCTGTAGAATAATATGATAAAATATAGGCAAAAGTGGTGAAAAAGGCAGACAACAACCCGTATAACAGATATTAGATAGTTCGATAAGAAATTATTGTAAGAGTTCTGTGATAAAAGGAATTTCCTCTGATTTCGTAATGAAACGTTATATTGCAAAATATTACATAATACAGAAGAAAATCAATTTTAAAATCAGAAAATAACATTGCAAATACTTCGTCTGGACAACTCAGTTACTCCCAATAAATGTGTGTTGTTTAAAACACAATTTAAAAATTAACAGCTGTTTCATTAAAAAGTATTATATGGCCAAAATGTAAACAAAGCTGTCGAGGGATCTTTAAAGGCTTCTGAAGCAGAGCCCTCAGCTTATTTACTTCGTTTATCTTTTGATAACTCATCTACAGACCAAGACCTTTCTTTGGAAACCTTTACCAAGTTT